AAATACTAGCAAATCGCATACTACAATACATTAAAAAGATTATACATCACAATCAAGTTCAAGTGGGTTCCATTCCAGGGACACAAGGATGGTTCAACATATGCAAATCGATCAATGTCATATACCACATAAGCAAAAAAGGATAAAAATCATATGATCATATCAATAGATGCAGAAAAAGCATTTGACAAGATACAACATCCATTTGTGATGAAAATACTTAGTAAAATGGGTATAGAAGAAAAATATCTCAACATAATAAAGGCCATATATGACAAACCCTCAGCTAATATCATAATTAACGGTGAAAAACTGAAGCCCTTTTGCTCTACAATCAGGAATAAGACAGAGATGTTCCCTCTCACCACCATTAATTCCACAAGTATTGGAAGCCCAAGCCAGAGCAATCAGGCAAAAGAAAGAAAGAAAAGGCATCCAAATTGGGAAAGACAAAGTTAAAATATCACTTTTTGCATATGACATGACTCCTTATATAGAAAACCCTAAAGACTCCACCAGAAAATTAGAAACAATAAAAAATTCAGTAAAGTTGCAGAGGGGAGATAAAGTTAACCAGGCAAAAGGGAGAGAAACAGCCCTCCAGGAGAGGGTTCAACATGTGCAAAGGGCCTGTGGCAGGAGGAAGGGTGGAATGTTCAAGATCTGTTCCAGAACTAAGAAATCTGAACTCATGAGGAAGCTGGTAGGGCCAGGCCTTCTAAGTCTTTGCAGTCCTCAGAAGGACGCACTTAACAAGGAGAGGTCAACCTACTAATCCCACTCTGGTCATATTTTCTCTTCACAACCCAGTGCGGAGAAAACTAAGAGACCCCAACGCAAGTAACCCGGAGTACTCCACCATACAAACTGTATGTGCAGTGACATTCATGGGTATTTCAATACTCAACACACATGGGCATTTTGCTCACACCCTCATTCCATGCTCTATTGCTATACACCTGATATACACTGATAGTTCTTTCTATACATCTATGTCTTCATAACTAAATTATAAAAATCCTTTGGGTACAAGGGCTGCGTCTCAGTCATCTTTTCATTCCCCCTTTATAGTATCTAGCAGAGTGCTGGACACATAGCTAATGTTTAATAAGTGTTTCCTAAAAATTTAAAACATGATTAAATAATCCATTCGTAAATAGCCTGTCAAAAGTGATCCCCTGGGAGAAAATTCTATAGCCTTACTTCGAAAGCCATTCCAATGATAGCAACACTCAGAAAAATCTTCCTGTAAAAAATCATTCCTTTCAAATTGTGGCCAATTCTTGAGCTTTATCCTCAATGAAGACCAAGAACAGTCCATCACATTAGCAAGGAATGCCTCTGTGTATACTTTGAAGATCATTACTGGGTCACCCCTAGCTCTCTCTCCTTTCAGGGGCGGAAGACTTCATCTTCTCACCTTTCCTCAAAGAAACCACTTAGTTGCTCTTTGGATTCATTCCAAAACCTCCAGCCCTGCTAAACTGGGGAGGCCAGCAGTATAGTAAACCAGGAAACAAGGTCAAGGGTGCCTGAGGGACTTGGTGCACAGTCCTCCGAGTACAGGCAAGCTCTCTTTTTCAGTCTGCTTGTTTTCATGCCAACTCACATGTGTTTATGGACAGGTGTGTGCGCACACATATGTGCATACATGTATACACACAATTTTTCTTACCAGCTCAAAGAATAAACATTGTTTTATCAGATGAGTTTGCCAATCACCCTCTGTTCTTCATCACCAGCCCAGTCTTATCCATCTGATTCAACACATCAATTTTTTTTTGGTTTTTTTTTTTTAGTGAAAGCTTTCTTTCTATATATTTGTAAATAATATGGCAAAGAAATGAGCAGCATTATTTTTATGGGTATTCCCCATTTTCTTCTTCATGTGCAAAAGCATCACATAGACTGGGAAATTTCACCGAGAAATTCCATCTCTCCAATATATCAAGAATTCAAAAACAATAAATTACTGGTCATTCAACAAATAATGAGGCTATGATAATACAAACAGTTGTGCTTTTAAAACATTTTGTTTTTTGGCATTTGGGTGAAAACTTCAATTTTATTTCAAAAAATGTACTGTTAAATTTTATTTGCAGTCATTTTTTATCTCTTCTCAAAGAAATAAAAATCCCTCGGTTATTTTTATTGTAGCGATTATATTGGGTTGTTGGAAAAGTCATGAAGCATTTTTGCAACGAAAAACATATAAAAAATACGTCATCACTTTTTCCGACAACCCAATAGAATCTGTGTTATGCCATTTAAACGAGATTATATGTAGGATACCTACTGAACTGTAAATGCTCACAAAAATTATGTATTTTTTTGCAGAAAAAAATTGGAACATTGTGTATATGATACAATTACAACTAACTCCTGAATTTAAAGTAGACCATTATATTAAACTAACAAACCCCAGTTTCTGAAAGACTTATGGAATATATTTGTTCTAAAAATCTGCATCGGTTTAAATTACTCCAAATATTATTTACCATGCAATACTTTTTACATTTTTAAGGCAATACATAGCACACTGAACAAGAACTTATACATGTATTAGCTCAGTCATTTATTGGAGCAAATTGAGGGAAGAACATTAAAAAGAATATTGATTGTGCTTGGAAAAAATGAAGCATTAGTGAAGTGATAGTGTAGATGAACTCAAAAGTTTTAGTCCAGCATTTCATGCAATACACTGCTGTGTAATTAGTATTTCTAAGAGTTTTGGAACAAAAAAACACTACCCAAAATAGGCACCTACTAAAGAAACAAGAACAAGATCTCAAACAGTCATATAACTCTAATTTTTTTTAAAGATGGAGGATGTTTTGCTTTATCAAATACATAAATAATCTAAGCACTACAAAGGGAATAGAATGCACTTTTAGAATCAATTCAGAATCCTAAATATATTTATTTTAATAATCACATGCTTAGTGCTCACTGAATTAGAGAAACAGTAATTATTTGTTTCTGCAGCACATGAATAGCTGCATAATAAATATTATCTAAATAAGCTGTATGGACCCTTTAGGAAAGGTCTGAGTCCAATTTTGAGTCTAATGTCCATTCGTCATGGATAACCTGTTTAAACTGATGAGATAAACGCTAAAGAACCATAGCAAAGCTGCCATCCTAGGTTAAAAATACATAACACAATGCTCTGAGTGACTGCGAGGGAAAAGCACTTCCCAAGGTCACTCCAGCAGCCCACGATGGAGCCTGGAATAAAACCATCTTGGAGCGATGACCAGTCCTCCAAGGTCACCCAAAGGCACACATCTGGACAGTTTCTGTTCCGAAAAAAAAAAAGGGAACAAGGACTCCCTTTGGCATGATCTCTAGCTCCCAGCAGCTATGTAGGTATGGTTTCATTTACGGCACATGGACAGGATGAAAACTAAGGACCAATTTCCTGGGTCAAGATGACCGGCACCTAAGCATTCAGCATAGCCTGCGATCTTTACCACACACAACACACACAAGGACCACGCAGAAGAAAACCACCACTAAGAAACAAACACTAAGTGTAACACCACCCAGGCTCCAGGAACTTGGTGCCGGCCTTCCCTTATTTCAATTTAACCAGTTTCGGCAGTCTTTCCCTAATTAAGAGAACCGAGGAATTGGTCCCTAAATGGGACCAAACTTTCTGCTCAAAGTGTCTTTCTTTGGACCAGAACTCGGACATCTCCCCCAAGACCTAGACGCAGAAGAGTATTCAAAATAGGGCTAAACAGAAAAGACCCCTAACTCTCAGCCGAATCAAACTAGGTGCCCGGCCACCGGGGCTTGGACTCCAAGTCAAGTTACACTACTGAAAGACGTTTCCCCACGCACCGAAGATGCAACCAAAAAGATTCCAATCTTAAATTAAACGTCCCTGCCCTAAACCAAGTCCCTGCCAACTTGCCACCACACGCACAAACTAACTTCCTAGGGCGGTGCAGAGACGCCTGGACCCCAAGACTTCGCGAGCTTCGGGGGCTGAGAGAAGGACGCAGCCGGAGCTCCCGCCAGGAGCGGGAAAGGGGCGCGTGGAGACTCGACCCGCCGCTCCCGCGCGTGGGGTCTGCGCCCGGCCCGCGGACCCCTGCACCACGCGCTTGGCCTCGGGCCCGACCTGCTCCCCCGCCTCCTACCTGTCTGAGGATGAAGCTGGTCGAAGTGGTGCTGCCATCGGATCTTTTCAACCTGCTCCTTCGGGTCGTGGTGCCTCGGGCCACCTGGACTCGACACACGGGGTCAGAGAGAAGCGGATAAGGACCGCAGCGCGGAGTGGGGCGACCACCCCCGGCTAGAGTCCGCCTCCGGACCAGCGCCCCGGGGTCCCCCAGAGCCCGCACCCAAGTCTCCTCCGCGGTCCCCAGATCTAGCCCCCACCCCCATCCCCCCACGCCAAGCCTGCACAGCTGAAAAGATGCCCGAGAGGAGCAGCCGGCGAGCACCCACCACATCCATTAACAAAGACTCTCAGGGTGCGGGGTCCGAGTCCCCGGCATCCGCTGGGGCTGGCTGCGGGCTCCGGAGCGGGAGAGCAGAGACCCGACCAGGTGAAGAGGAGGTGGAGGAGGAGGAGGAGGAACNACACACACACACACACACACACACACACACACACACACACACACACATTCTGAAGCCAAATAAGAGTCACATATACAGAGCACTCTAACCTTAACGTGACCATTTTACCTACCTGTTGGATTTGGACACAATCAGCATTTGAGTCGCTAACACTGGCACTGGGCCATCCGAGAAGTAGGAGAGTACAGTAAATTCGTGTGCATAAATTACTAGTCATTTCCACTACTGTCGGTCTCTCCTGCATTATAAAAGAAATTCCAAACAACAGTTTTCCTAATTTGAAAATAATATCATAATATTCAGACACAGTGAACACTACAACAGTTTACCATTTCTAGTGATTCTGACAACCCAGAAAAATGTAGATTCTTTTCAAGTTTATGTTTACAAAATATTTCCTCTCAAAACAAAGACTACTGCTACAGATATTAAATTGCAACCCTGGAGAAAGCAACAGAGAAGAACATAAAGTGAGAAATAAAACAGGCATGGTTTGTCATCCAAATGATTGCAGTGAAATGATCAGAAATCCATAATAAGTGGCATAAGTTTTACAGCCTCTCTTTAATAATGCTTTCAGTACCTCAAGTATAAGTGATGAATGCCATTCCCTTCAGATTCCAGTAATTACCTCTGCTCTGTTTATGTGTAGAAAAGTTATGTTAAAGAAAATAGGAAAGTTTGCAGAGGGGCACGTTTAGTTAAAATGAGAACTACCTTCAAGGAATTTCGAAGCACGGCCAATCACGGCCGATATTTAGGCCAGGTGTTGGCAAGACGTCGTCAGCCTTACCTACTTCAGAAAGCAGGCTGCCATAGCACGCAGCTTATTGTTATTGCTACTTGAAAGCAAGAAAACAATTCCCTTGAAATTGAATCTATAATGTAGCCTTTTCATTAATGCAGGCTTCTAATCCTACCC